TCCCACCTATTATGATCTCCGTGGGGATGGGCCCACTGAATGACTTGGCTCCATCTCTCTTTAACAGAGGTGGTTCAAGCCCTCCCATAGACCCAACTTTAGGAAAGCCATCTTTGAACTCAGCTTGGTTCTGAGCAGTGTTTTGCAGTGAGAATAAGTCAGAATGTCTTTGCTTGATTCTTGAGTCTACTTACTAGCCCCGCCAGAAGGGGGTCAGAGAGCCTCCCTGCGCCTGAGTTCCATTACCTGTAAAACAAGATAGTATTTATCTTATTAGATCTATTGTTCAGATAAAAGAAAATAAACACACAAAAGCTGTAACTGTCCTGCATTTTAAAGTACATTCATACTCAGCAACAAAAAGGAACAAATTACTGATACACGCAACAAAACGGATGAAGCTCAAAGGCATTATGTTAAGTGCCAGGAGCCAAAAACACTGTACATACTGTATGATCCCATTTTGTGGCATTCTGGAAAAGACAACACTAGGGGGACATAAATAACACCAGTGGTCTCCAGAGGCTGCACGTTGGGGAGGAAGACTGGAACAAGGGAACTTTTTTGAGGTGATGGAAATTTCTGTATGCTGATTGGTGGCTGCACAAGTGTGTGTGTCTGTCAAGACTCACAGAACTGTGTGTATATCTCAAAAGGATGAATTTTACTGAAAGTTATATACATCAACAAACTTGACTTTTTAAAAATGGAAGAAAAAAAAGCCCTACAATATGATGTATTGCATAAATAGCCCTTTGGGACAAGATCTGGTGCACTGAGCACCCAATCAATAAACAACCTCATCTACATGTTTGGTTTCTGGGCCATGTTGTTCATATAGCATATAACATGATTTTCTTCTAGTAGGCTCATCGGCTCGCGGCTTTAAAATGTAATTGGCAGGATACCGAGCACTTCCCTTCTAAAAAGATCAATGACTGCCTTGCCTCAAGGAACAAGCGAAACCACCAAAAGAAGGATGAGGCGGGACTGGACTATCAAATAACCTAGAAACACAGAGAAAAGTTGCTTCAGTCGCCATCCCGGAGAAGCAGTTCAAGGCCATTGGAGGTCATTATGCTGATAATAGACCTTGTCTTGGTTTGGAGGGAATTTCCAGCTCTGGGTATGAGTCAGACTTCGGTAGTTCAGGATGGCCTAACAGTTTAATAAAAACACCTGTCAGAAACACCTAAAGGCTAAGGCGTGCGAGTCCTCAGCGTAGGCTGGCACACAAGGTCAGCACCTCCCCAAGATATCTCCCGCTACCCCGCCCCCTTCCTCCACTGCCTCCCGCAGGAGAACTCCCTTCTTATTGGCCACTTCCCGGCTGCCTCCGGCGCCCATTGGTCCGCTCCGATGTCCGCTTCTATAAAAGGCGGGCTAGTGCCACCCGCGGGCTAATCCCGCTCACCGCTAGCAGCGCCACAGGTGAGTAGGGTGACCCCATCCTTTCGGGACAAGGGACCATCGTCGCGAATTTGGGGGCGCAGCGTGGGTCAGAAGCGAGATGACCCTCCTGGGAGGTAAATACCCATGGAGAACTGGGTCTGGGAAGTGGGAGTTTTACCCTAATGGGCACTCTTCTTTCCTCCTATTCCATTTGGAGGAGAAGACCATTTTTGAGGGTCTCTTTTGTGTGCCAGAAACAGGCTCTTCACACTCACCTCTCTGTCAAGTAGATAACTCTTGCATTTTACATATGGGGAAACAGGTTCAGAATGAACCCAATTCTGCGTAACTCCTCTATGTTAGCAGAAACAGATCATCATTCCTTCCCTTTCTCCCTGTTAAAATGCAACCTCCATTTTTCCTTCTCCTCTCATAAATGAAACCCTCCCAAAGGAAAGGGAGCCTCAGATGAAAAACCTCTTAGCATCTCACCTACCCATAGCATCTCATTTTTACCCCGACACAGGACTAAGAGCTTGGGTACAAGGTTATACAACTGACAAAGAGGCATAGTCCAGGTAAACTTAACCTTGCCTATGATATTTGGTCATCAGAGGTTTAAAATGAACTCTCTGACTCAAGTTGTCTTGGGGAAAAAAGACTACAGTTGAACTTTCTGACCCATTAAAGTTTGTGCCTGTGTACTAATTCTCAAAGAAAGGTGAAATTCACTGATTTGGTTTAAAGGTAGATATGAGCACAGCTTAAAGCAGCTACAAATGTTTTTGAGAAGCTGTGACCTGTGGTCTGTGAACTTTACCACTGGAGTTCATTTGTGTGTGCATTATCATCATATTAGCTTATCTTCAAGTAGGGATGTGTCTTCTATTTCTGTTTTCTTTGCCAGTGCCTTTATTTCCAGCATTACTGTTTTTCAGGGGCAGTGTTTTCTCTTGTTTCATCTTCACTTTCACCCTCTTTTCCTTCCCCACTTTAGAAAAGAAAATCAAGATTCTCTGGAGAATTCTCTCCTTCTAGACCAGTCTTCCCCACAGCTTCTGGTTCTGCCTTCAAACAGCATCCATGCTTTCAAAATACTTTAATTTGGTAGTTATTTGTGCTTCCTGGATCAGATAATTCTAAATTACACTTGGTGCTGATTTAACTAAGGGGAGAGTAAAGTTAGTCAATGTATGCATGTTGACAGCTCTACCAAAGAACTGTTGAGCTTCTGCCCTCTTTTTTGGTTTGTCTTCCTCATTCCCAAGGGCATGTCCCGCACACCAGTGCACCTCTAGCCAGACCCAGAAACGTAGTCGGAGAGGGACTCCTCACCTCTCACAGAAAATGAGGAAATACAAGTTGGTATTGGCCTGTTGAAGTGTTGCTTTAAAAAGAAAATATATACTTCTTGATGATACATGGGTTGAACAGGTGTGACCCATGGACACGCAATAGACTTTAATCTTTGCAGACTAGTCCTGTGGATTTTACCCCTGAAGGAGTAGGAGTAGGCAGGTAGGTTGAAGTGGGGAAGGAAAAATGTGGCACGGGAAAATGTAGAGGTTCTGAAGGGGTTGGGAGTAGTTAAATAAAGGAAAAAAGAACAGATGCTTCATAAGCTCTGTCAACCAGGCAATGTTATAGCCAAATTTTAGTAAAGATCAAAGCTCTATAATCTTATCTTGGAGGTGGGAGAGAGGTGAGAATTCTACTTTTGAGCACTTCATGTTTATATTGACTAAAACAAGGGGGATAGGAATGTTTCCGAATCTCAATATAAAATGCCTTACACATCAGAAGTATTCAATTAATGTATCCTTCACCCTTCTCTGCCCCCATCCCTTAGGGAGATGCTGGTGGCAAACCTAGATTCATTCCAGAACCAAGGAAAGGAGAGAGAATATGAATCCCAAAGGAATGGACTTAGACCAGCCATGAGTGTTAGTACGTTCTTATCTTGGCTCCTGCCAGGGGAGCTGATGGGACGGCTTTGAAATGTAAGAGAAAATCTTTAGATAGTGCTATATGAAGAGTTGCACTCTAAGGTCTGAGAGATCTTTGAAGGATGTAGCTCTGAAACTCTATCATTGTTATCGATGACTGGCAAAAATCCTTTCATTGTTCTCTGGTCCTTGCTTTCCATTGTGAAACTTCACTTACACCATGAAAATAGTGTAAGCTTATATTTGCAGAACCTCTTCCTTTAGCATGTCATGGTGACAATGTCGGGGGGACTTGGTGACTCTGCTGACTCAGTGATTGTGCTTTGGGGTCTTCATCTGTTTGTTCACAAAAGAACTGGTAAATCATTAACTTGAGATTGGAATTTCATACACTTTAGGGGATTCATAATAAATAAACCAATGAATCTGAAAATCACCTTAAGACAAAGAATACTTACATTTTATAAAACAGCCTTTCCATGTGCTTGCTGCTATAAGAGATAGACCAAGGGTAAGACAAAGTCTTAGCCAGACTTGTTTAAAATGTCAATTTCACTACATTTCACTAACATTTTCTCTTTTTTGAAGACTGTTAAATTTTGGATTTATATGTCCCATTATTAGCGCTAATATAAATTGAGTACTTAGTGTAGGTCAGCCACTGTTCTAAGGGTTTTATATGTTTTGTATATATTCAATCCTTTTTATAACCTTTAGATTGGTGCTAATTGTCCTCCTTTCAATTTTGCAAATAAAGAAATTAATGCACATAGAGGTTATAGCTTTCCTAGCTGGATTTGTAGATAGACTTATTACTAGCAATTTGCTCTATTATTTGACATCTCTGTTATTGTTTGCATCTGCATGCTGTAGGAAAAGTCACCCATCCTCTGTGTGGAAAAAAAGTCCATGATCTTCGAATAGTATTTAGAGAAGAAATGTTTCCAAAGGTTTTCACATCTCTAAAAACATTTTGAGAATGCCTATCCAAGACCGCCCCTGAATTTTTAGCTTCAGAGCACCAATTCAGAATTTCCTGTGTACACCTAAGTGTACATTAAGAAACGATCAATTCTGTTTTAGCTGAAAATCTCTATGTGGCTCTCTTGCTTCTCATCCATAAATCCTTTCTGATCAGAGACTTATGGATGGGCCAGAAGGCATCTCCAATCATCTTTAGAATCTCATGGGATATTGGTCACGGGGTGAGGAATTGGGAGATTAGGAGTGCTTTTCCGAGATATCATAGCTGGGATCTCAGGGTCCCATTCTCTTCTAATTATTCGTACTTATTGGACAGTCTGTCTCCCCTCCTTCCTCTCCCTCATAACAAGTCTGTGGATTCCTTGGAGGCAAATCGTCTTCTTTGGTTTTAGTCTCTACTGCCCTGATGCTCACTATGGTGCTTTATACACATGAATGCATTTGAATTGAAATGTCATTTATTTTACCATTAGTAATGATTTGAATCACAGAAAAATCCACATTATTATTACATTTAACTGGGTGTTTGGTTTTAAAGCATTGACCCAGAGATGGTTTGGGGTGTGAAGAACCCAGTGACACAATTAACTTTGAGTGTTAGAAAGTTAAGCAGCTTGCCCAAGGTGATACTGATAAACACCAGACCAGTGATTAGCTATGTCTGATTTCATGTTCCAGATATACCCTTACACTATCAGAAATAAGATGCCAAAGTAGATACCCAGTTCATCTTCTGAGAAGACAGCTTTCAGCTAGGTATCTTGAGTTTTGTTCTACCTTCTGTGTATCTGAACATGTTTAGGGTAATCCTGGTGATATCGGATCCATATGTTAATGTTCACATGTTGAAAGACACAGTTTTACATATGTGTTCTCACATTCTCTAGCTGTGTGACTGGACAGATTAATTTCTCTAGGTTTCAGTTTTCTCATTTATAAAATGGGTATAATTCCTATCCCCTTCTACTAAGATTTTATGAGAATCAGATGGGATAATATTAGTGCCTGATATTTATAGACATCTGACAAATGCCAGTTCCCTTCCCCACCCATTGGATCCCCAAGAATGGATGGAACCTGCCATCATCACAGAGTGGGGAGTTTCTTTCTTTCTTATCTCCATGCTCTGAACTTACATGCAGGAGTCCTTCAACTTAGTACATACCTGATAAATATTTGTTAAACAAAGTTCCAAAAGAATCATAAAGACTGAATTCTGGAACAGAAAATTGTATCTCATTGGCAAGCTTAGTAGCAGACTGTAGTTTATGACCCTCTGATTGAAAGCCATACTTGGTACTTTATACCCTCTGCCAAACCAGAGGAGTCTCTTGGGGCTGCCTTTTATAAGGGGCCCCAAAATGTTATACAGTGTGTATGTGTTAAGAAAAAAGCTTTATGGAAGAAAAGACAACATCCAAGAGCTTTCTGGTCAGAAAGACAGAAATGCATAAAGCCCCTCATTTTGCATCATCCTGTAGAAAAGCATTTCAAATCCAGGACTTTGGCCTCCAATAAGACAGGCCATGGCCCATAGATGGGTATTGGATGGGCACTGAAGATCAAATCCAAACTCCCCTGCATTACCCACCTGCACACAGCCTCTCAAAGGATTCACCCACTTGCCTAAATGATTCCTCAGTGCTCTGTATTGGTTGGTCATGTCCTCATCTTTTTCTTTAACCTTCTCACCTACTCCTTCCCCCCTTTTTCTTTAAGATCCATTTCAAACGCACCTTCAGTAAAACATCTCTGAACATTTACCAGAATAATCTATTCACTGCCATCACTTACCTCTCTGCATTGTCACTCTCTCTGTACCAGACTTTCAGTTCCCTGAAGTGGGGGCCTTGTCTTTGAGAAATCTTTTACTCCTTTATTAATTGAATGACATCTACCCAGTGCCTATTAGGTGCAGAGACAGTGCTGGGTGCTGGAGATACAATGGTGAGTGAAAACATACACATTCTCTGCCCCCGATGGAGCTCACGGTCTAGTTGGAAAGGCACACATAACCAAATAGTCACTGAAGCAGAGCTACTGCACTTGCCACTGTTATATATGAATGGTTATTCATATATAACTGTTATATATGAATGAGGCAATGACAGTCTGCATTAAGGGGAGGTGACTTGGGGAAGACAGGGGAGGCTTCCATGAACAGGTGGAGTGTGGGCTGGAGCACTGGACACAGTGCATCTGGCTTCAAGCCCACACCGTCACCCCTGCACCCGCTCTGAGCAGTTGTGCCGTGGGCTTGGATCCATGAGTGAGAGCCGGTGTGGGGCAGTGGAACCAGCTGCATCCATTTAGGTTGTTGAAGATAAATTCCACTAAAACTACAATATGGAACTGGGTAATTAGGAAGGACTAATAACCAGATGAAAACTAATCAGAAAACATCCTAAATATGCTGTTTCCATTTATTAATCCAAATCTTATTTCTGAAATGTATATTTCTCAATTGAAGGCCACCAATCCAAAGTTATTGTGTCCTATTTCTATCTCCCACAGTAGCTTCACCTCCCCCTACACACACACACACACACACACACCCACCACTGGGATTTATAATCATATAGCTCTTGTAGGCCAATATTGAAAAGGCTTCAGGGCCCATGGCCTAAAGGATTCCATAGGCAGAGAGGAAAGGAGATACTAATACAGAATCAGAATTCTATCAGCTAGGGGTTATCCTTCCAGTCTGAATGTGTCCACAGCTGCCCAGGCTCATGAATTTATAAAAGAAATAAAAGTTCTTTTTCCCTGTTCTGAGGGAGCTTGCTGCCTTGTTAGAAGACAGGCTTGTGTGAACAAAACATTTGGGGAAGCCATTCAAGACCCAGTATAACAAAGAGCTAAAACTCTAGGGAGGAGAGCAGGTAGGCTTTCTTAAAAGGGGGGCGCCCAGTTCAGGCTACAAGTCAGGAAGACTGCAAGAAGCTTCAGGCATGCTCTGAAAGAAGGATTCAGGGAAAAAAAGGAAACTACTAACATGTATTGTATACTTATTACATTCTAGGCACTATGTCTGGCAATGTTTTATCTTATCTCGGTCTCATTATAGTCTTGCTTTTTTTTTTAAAGATTTTATTTATTTGTAGAGGGGAAGGGATGGAGAAAGAGAGGGAGAGAAACATCAATGTGTGGTTGCCCCTCACGTGCCCCCTACTGGGGACCTGGCCCACAACCCAGGCATGTGCCTGGGAATCAAACCAGCAACACTTTGGCTCTCAGACCAGTGCTCAATCCACTGAGCCACACCAGCCAAGGCTGGCCTCATTATAGTCTTGCAAAGCATATAAGCATATCCATGTTTTATAGATGAGGAAACTAAAGCTTGGTTAGTGTTATCAAATGTCTCAGTTTCAAAAATTATAAAATGTTGTCTACACTGTACTTTTTAGAACTTTCCTTATATTTCTTCCTTACTTTATTTTTAGAGAAGTACACCAAAGTCACCATGATTGAAGACAACAAGGAAAACAAAGACCATGCTTTAGAAAGAGGAAGAGCAACTCTGATTTTTTCCTTAAAGAATGAAGTTGGAGGACTTCTGAAAGCACTGAAAATCTTCCAGGTACGTCCTCTCTGTACTGCTACATCAAACTTCCTAAAACGAGTCTCTAAAATTGTATTTAAAGTATAGAATACTGTAAATTCTTCAAAGATAGGCTACAGAAATTTCTTAAGCACTTAAATTTCTAAATTATTGCTTCATTCTAACAAATGGGCGAGAGATAAAAACAGTTTACAGAAGAGGAGATACAAATAACTAATAAAGTAAAAGGGGAAGAAAGTCTTAATAGATTTTGGAGAAGCAAATTTTAATTTTATTTTAACTAGAAAATATTAACATTTTAATGACATCTAATGATGTATTAATAATATAATTAATGATATTTCTATATAGCAAAATAGCAATCATTTTTATAATTATATCGTTCCCCATTGGCAAAGCTTCAGTGCACTTGGCACTTAAATACACCTTTGGTGTGAGGGCAAATGGATGTGCTGTGGGGAATCAATCTGGTAATATATATTATGGGCCTTAAAATGTGTACACTTTTTGACTCACTTATTCCACTTCTATAAATCTATCTGATGGAAGCAGAGATCAGTGTGTCAGACCCTAAGTATTTATTGAGTACTTAGTATGTGCCAGGCGCCCTCCTAGATACTAAGGGTGCAGACCCGAGCAAAGGAGACCCAGGGCCTGCCCTGCCAGCGTGTGCAGTGTGGTGGACACACAGACACCAGCAAATAATTATAGGAAGCAAATAATTACATGTGTGTAAAGGGACCTGAAAGCAAAGTGCCAGGTACTGTAATAGCATTGAACTGGGGGGCTGAACTTAATTTAAGGGCTTCAGGACACAAGGATTTATTTATAAGAACTAAATATTATAAACAAACTACTTGTCCTAAGGTAGGGGACAGGCTAATTGTGCTACTCAAATATCTTTGGGGTTAAGCTTGTAGCTCTGGGAGCTCAAATCCTTGCTTTGCCACGAACTAGCTGGGTGACCGTGGGCAAACTAATGTCTCTTTGAGATACAACGAGAACCCTGCCTATCTCATAGGTTATTGTGAAAATTATAGAGTTAATATATGTAAGTGCTTAGGATAGTTCAAAGTACCTTATCAGTAAATGTTAGTTATTTTGAAAAGTGAAGTTTAGATCTACATGACATACTATTATGCAGACATTTGAAATAACATTTCAAATAATTAAAAATTTAAAATACAGACAGATAATCTAGAAGAGTGTGAAAAGCATCATTTTTCCTACCCTACACATTCTATCTTCAGTCCCCTCCCCGGAGGCAACCTCTTAATTGCTCTTTTGGTGATGAGTTTATAAAATATAAATAGTGTGCTCTCATATCTCTGAGTTCTCAACTTTTCATATTAATTTGCTCTCTGTTGTAAGTGATACTGATAGCTCCTCCCTCCTTTCTCCCTCCTACTCCTCCCCAGATTTGATAATTATATCATTATTTTAAGCTAGCCAATTGATTACTCTCGGCCTTTAAATGATATATTCATATTGTTTCTTTCAGCTTTCTTTTTAATTTTATTTTCTGTCAAAGAATACTTGTGTGTGGTTTGAAAAGTCAGCTCACACTATAGAGCTTGTAAGAAAATAGCAGTCTCCTGCTTCCTCTCTCTGCATCCCTCAGTTGCACTTAAATTTTTGTTAGCCTTAGGTGCAGGGGCTTGAGTTAATCTTTCTCGTTAAATCACAGGTACGCTATCTGGTTTGATTTACACAGCCTCCTGGTTTATGTCATTGTTCCATTCACTCCTCATTTCTCTCTTCTGATGGACAGCTACTACTCTGTTTGATATGTACATTGAATTATTTTAATGTGTGCTTTAGACTATGTGTGTATAGTCTAAACTATTAGCAACACTTTAGTGTATGTGTTGGTAATTTATATAATGTTATTATATAATACACTTTTTCTTTCACTCAACACTGTGTTTAGGATCTGTCTATGCTACTATGTGTTCATCTAACTTCTTCGTAGTGTTCTGGGTGTGAATCCACCCATTTTACTAATCCTCAGCCTTCAGGGGGTAATCAGTTTCAACTCTTTCAACTGTATTTTCTAGTCTTTACTTTCATAATTCATATTTATAAATAATCTGCTTACTCTGCTGCTATTTCTTGACTTTTTTTTCAGTCGTAGTTACTATCCATTTCCTACCCTGGAAGTAAAGATTCCCCTTTCTTGACACAACCTCCTTTTCAGTGGCACCCTCAACTCCCCTTCTCTCCATCTTCCCAATGTGGCATGTCCCAGTTTTTGGCTTTGCCGGTCTTCAGTGTTTTCATTATTAAGATAATGTAAATCTTGTCCAAAGAAGATCCATACTATCCATTACCCTGATTCTTCATTTCCTGTAAAACAGAATTGGGACACAATGTTCAGGAGCTGGACAGCCTGGGTTTGAGCCCCAGCTCTGACACGTGCCCGATGCGTGTCTGTGGGAAAAACCGCAAACCTCTCTGTGCCTGTGTCTGTACCTGACACATCTGATCGGGAATGTCCCACTAATCCTGCTTCATCTGTATTTTCCGAGGTCTTCTTGCCTTAATTTTTCTTCCAGATGGACTTTGAAATCTTTTAGTTTCACTCCCTCACCAAACTCCATCAAGGTGTTGATTTGGATAGCATTAAATTTATAGATTAATTTAGGAAGAATTAATATCTTTTTTTTCAGGAAACATAGTTTAGCTTTATATTTACTCAAGTTGTCCTTCAGAAAGTATTGGAGAATATATTCTTACTGTAAAATCCCATAAGAAATACATTTAATAAAACTCTTCTTCACTCCTAACCAGTGCCAGTATAATATGTAACTGGCTTTCTCCTGTAGATTCTGCAGTAAATCTCACGTCCCAGGATAAGCCCCGCCCTTTTCAGTTTCCCAGTGTGCCCGACACTCTTTCTTTTTGGTTCATATCTGCTGATAGTCCTCACTGCATCCCTGCCTTCGCTCGTACAGCTGTCCTGTTGGGAGCCGTCCTTCTTCCCCGGGACCTTCCGGTTCTGTCTCTGCTGTAAGACTCACATCAGCTCCTCTCTGCTCATGGGGCTTCTGCTCTCTCTAACCCCTGATGCTTTTTCGGTTTGCCAAACATGTTTGGCACCTGAACACTCACCACTTGTGTTTTCTCTTCGTCCTTTGTGTGTTAGAAAACTGGGTTATAAACTCATTCTATGTCTTACCCTTCATGGGGTGCTCCTCCGCCCTTACCTGGCTACATACAGGTTCACTATGTTAATTTAGATCGAAGTGGTTAATATTGGAGATCACCTACTCCAATCTTCTCATGTTTTAGATGAGAAACTGTTGGGTGACTGGTTAGTATGTTTCATAATCCCGACACCAGTGCTTTTCCTCAGCTACTCACATCCGTAAGAGAAAACCCCCTCCTACAGGTTTACACATTGGGCGCCCACAGCCCAGGTGAGCAGGAAGAGACCAGAAGCAGCAATCTGGCTTAGCTGGTTACCTCATTGCTTAGGAGATTTGAGGTATTAAATACTCTGTATTCAAGCTGTTCCCCTAATTTATTGGATGCATTAGCAAAGGAAACTTTTCTAAAAAACTAACAGTAGCATCACTTTTTGAAAACTAGGTTTCATTGGTAAGAATTTTCAAAAAATTTTTCTTATCTAGGAGACTTGGTATTTTCATTTGAAGGCCAATCAATTATGGCAATCTGGGAAACTTCCGATGGGTGTTATGCTATTAGTTTCTGGAGGGTGTGATGAATTTTTAAAACTTTCTGGAATAGTGTCTAATATTGCCCTGACTGGTGTGGCTTAGTTGGGAGTTGTCCCACAAAGCAAAAGGTCGCCAGGTTGACTCTCGGTCAGGGCATGTGCCCAGGTTGTGGGTTTGGTCCTGGGGTCCCAGGCAAGGCACGTGTACCAGAGGTGATCAATTGATGTGTCTCTCACACATTGATGTTTCTCTCCCTCTCTTCCCTTCTCTAAAAGTAAATAAATAAAGTCTTAAAAAAATAACAGGGAGAGGGGATTGCAGTGGGGAGGGATTGAGCAAGAAAGAACAAGGACTCATGTACCTGGACAACAGTGTGGTGATGGAGGGGGCTGTGGTGGTGGGATGGGATGCATGGAGGTGGAAGAGCGTATAAGGGGGATAAATGGTAATGGAAAAAAATACAAACAAAAATAGTACCTAATATTTAGGGGGATTTTCTTGGCTATTGGCAGCACTAAAAACATCCTTTTCTCCTTCTGGCCATTATGACAAGTATGAAATTGATTTTCGGTGGTAATGAAAGTCATCTGCTCAGAGACTGTCACCATCTGAGGCAGTCATACAGAAGTGTCACCCTCTGCTTTGCACAGGAGAAGCGCGTGAACCTGCTACATATCGAGTCCCGAGAATCAAAGAGAAGAAGCTCGGAGTTTGAGATTTTTGTTGACTGTGATATCAACAGAGAACAACTGAATGATATTTTCCATCTGTTGAAGTCTCACACTAACGTTCTGTCTGTGAATCCCTCTGATCATTTTACTGCGAAGGAGGATGGTAAGTTTGAAAAGTAAAGATAACGTGCTTAGAAGAGTGTGTAATGTGTGTCTCATCTTTTTTTTAGAATTGTGTATTTTATTTATTTTCTTTTTAAAAACGCTTATGCTTCAATTAAAGTTGACAATAAGTATTACTTGGTATTAGTTTCATGTGTACAGCATAGTGGTTAGACAATCACATACTTTAAAAGTGTCCCCCGATATTTCCAGCACCCACCTGACATGATACAGAGTTATTACAATATTATTGGCTGTATTCCCTATGCTGTACTTTACATCCCTGCGACTATTTTGTGACTACCAATTTGTACTTCTTAATCCCTTAATCTTTTCACTCAATCCCTGCCCAATCTTATCTTTATCTTGAAGGATGAAAAAGACATAGGATAGCAAAGAATAGCAAAGAAGGATAGCAAAGACATAGGATGTAAAAATAAAGCACTGTTTCTTCAAATTGCTTACAGTCTGTTAGGAAAGGGAACACAAAATAGAATTTCTCGAAATTCTCAGTAAAAATTAGAGGGCAACATTTTATCAAGTGTGAGAAAGGTGAAAGGGAAACCTTGAGTATATAAAAGAATTCAGAAGAGTTAGAAATCTATTGTTATCTCAGGTTCCAAATCATCAAGCATTTCTGGATTTCCCAAACCTCCAAGTCACAATCCCTGAGCACTCAGTAACTCCCACAGGGCCTGGCTCCAGCAGGTAGTGGATCCTCAATTTGCTGAGGATGTTGACAGTTGCTGGCAGCCCTGATGTGAACTACACTACATACAACATTCCTCTCTATCCACCTCCTCCAAGAGCAGGTGAAAAAGCAGTGAAGTCTTCTAAGGCTTCAGATAGCAAAGACATAGGCTAAAATCTTCCTTTGTGGAAAAAAAAAGATCCAGTAGTTTACTTGGGGCAAAAGACAAATAGATAATTCAGCCACATTTTGTAGATGGTGCTCAATTTAAAATAATCCCTTTAGATGATGCCACAATATTTGGGGTGTAACCAGGGCCAATATCCACCTATTATGTATCTGTATGGCTGTATAAATTATGAATATATTGATACACTTTCATCTTTGGCTGGCAGGCAGCCGCTTCCCTGAGTCCTGTGAGCGCTTCCCACCAGGCCTGAAGCCCATGTGTCCTAGACCCACCCCAGGGGCCCCTGCCTGCCACAAACAGCGGTGGGGTTAACACCCGCCAGGCAGGAGCCTAGGACTCTGCCTGTGTCTATTTCCAGTGACGCGATTGGTGGCCCTGTTGGATTTGTTGTTAAGTCCCTTGAGTATCACTTCCTGGCCTGTTTGAAAGGGCGTTAGACTGAAGTGAGGAGGTTTAAGTTCTAGTGCTCTCTCTTCCATTAGGGAGGAAGTAACTTGGTAAATTACCTTTCTGGACTTTGATGATCTTATCTATAAAGTTAAGGGTTTTATAGAGGCTAAGTGGTTCAGTTGATATTTAGGGAATACCAACTTATGTCAAATATTTCTACTGAGAAATGGGGATACAAAAATATATAGTCCCTACCCTAGAGTTGGTCCCATTTTTTCCCGTAAGACACATGTTACAGCTACATTCTATGAAAACACACAGAGAAAGCTTTTAGAAAATTAGAAACGGTGTTCAGGGAACCTGGATGACAGGGAATTAGCTCCAGGGTCAGGGAAGGCTCCTTTGATCTGAGCCTTGAGGGAAGGGAAGGGCACTCTCAGGAAAACAGAAGGATGGGTGGAGGAGAAAGTGGGAGTGGGGTAGAGGTTTTGGGCAGAAGAACAGCTTGTGCAAAACCCAGAGTCCTATGAGGGATTGGATGTCTTCTGGGGGATGGTGAGAAGATGGAAGTGGAAAAGCCATGAATGACCCGTAAGATCCTTTTCATCAACAAAAATAAACATTCAAATTTCTTACTAAATTTGCACCTTGTTCTGTACATCCCGATTCTTTTTTAGGGTATTAAATATGTATCTTAAAAATATTTTTTTGAACTTTTGGTCTATTAACAAAGTATAACATTTCTCCGACACTTAAGAAATCAAGGTTTATACATTTTAAGCTAAAAAATTTTCATAATATTTACTTATTAGAAATAGAAAAGTTTACTTGTATAAATTTTACCTCAATGTACAAGCTGAAATTAAAAATCTCCTCTAAGTGCATTTATGACTTCCTTAATTTCTTCTTCTTTACTGCCTTGTTTGAGGCTGTCTCTCCAGCTGTTAGTGGGTTCTGTGTTTGCAGGGACGGAAACGGTCCCTTGGTTCCCGAAGAAGATCTCTGACCTGGACCACTGTGCCAACAGGGTTCTGATGTACGGCTCTGAACTGGATGCAGACCACCCTGTAAGTATTTTTAATGAATATTTTCATGAACATAATTCACAGCGAACAAAAAATTAAGGCTAACTTTCTCATATTTGGAGAAAGTGCTTATTCTAGACTAAAGAAGATCTTGTTTTAATTTGCACTTCAGGAAGTTTAGTAGACCTCCATGTTGGTAGAATTGAGACTCACTGCCTGAAGGAAACTAACTTCACTGGGTCCAAAGAGTCTGTTCAATGCCTGACATTCCTGTTATTAAGAGCTATTCTAAGAGTTATACTAAAATAAGGACAGTATCTGCTGTCAGTTTTTATTAAATTGGGTGTGGGTTATTGGAAAAGGGAGTAAAAGTAGGATGAATAAGTCTTATTACCCATGCTGCCCACCCTAATTGGGTTATTAAGCTGTTGATGAACTATGAGGTGAACCTTGGGGAACCATATGGGATATAGTATGGGCGTGAGTTGGAGTATTTCGTGAGGCCAGGGTATTAGGATTGCTTATGGAGCTCTAGCACCCTGAGAGGGGAGGAGGGAAGACAGTGCAGTGTGAAGTCGCATAGACCAGGGCTTTAATCTAGCTTCTCTTAGCGCTGTGAGAGTGACTGCACACTGCCGTAGACAGCCCCAGACAATCCATCTGTGCCTTCTGTGATATCTTATTGAGGAACGGTTGGAATTTACAAGTTGCTATACCTGCCAGGGAAGCTTGCAGTCCAGTTGAAAAGATAAAGCCCGAATACAAATAAACACAATCAAGATTAAAATGTGGAAAGTGTACGAAGTGGCATGAAAGAATTGCTGTAAGATATACACAAGGGAGCCAATACTTCCAGCTGAAGAGATCAGTTGAGTGGTTAAGAAAAAAATCTTACCCTACAGGCCTGTAGGGCAAAGGGCCTGTATTTAACTAGGACAGGGCTTTTATTATTCAAACCATTTTATTTTTGAAGGCATTATAGTATTTTTGTATCTTGGTATCTATACTATCTTGTGTCTTTGTAGCCAGTATATTATAAAGCTATTATAAAACATAAACATTAAAATAAAAATGATCATAAATTTCTAAACAATGCTTGGTCAAAATAACAATTATGTAGCTCTTTAATATAATAAAGATGTTTCCCAAATATCACTTGTCAAATACATTTTAGTGTGAATATTAAAAACCTTTTCTTTAATTATCAGGGCTTCAAAGACAATGTCTACCGTGAAAGACGGAAGTATTTTGCAGACTTGGCTATGAACTATAAACAGTAAGTGTGTTATAAAAATAACGTATCCACCTTCAAAATAGTAAAATCAATACAGAGAGTAAATTATGCTCATTTAGTAAATAGAGAATAAGAGAAATGGCATTGTTTATTGAATGCTAATTCGAGTAACTTCCTCCCTTTGTCTTGCTAGTGGAGACCCCATCCCTAAGGTTGCGTTCACTGAAGAGGAGATTAAGACCTGGGGGACCGTGTTCAGAGAGCTGAACAAACTTTACCCAACCCATGCCTGCAGAGAGTATCTCAAAAACTTACCTTTGCTTTCTAAGTATTGTGGCTATCGGGAAGACAACATCCCACAGTTGGAAGATGTTTCAAACTTTTTAAAAGGTATTAAGCTAGTTAATTTTTTGTAAGGGGAATGTTAAACTTTGTGTGGATCAGGACAGAGTTTTTAACAGAGGAATAAAGTCCAGCGACAGGGAGATCTGGTACCCTGTCCTGGAGTTTTGGATTCTGTATTGGGCATCACATTTGAAGAGGGACAGTCATAATCAGGACAAATGTAGAAGAAAGTGAGCAGAATTATAAGGAGATTGGAAAATGTATCATATGAACAAACTCTAAAAGACTCTTAGGTGTTTACCCTGGAGATTTAAAAGACATCATAGCTTTATTTAACTATTTGAAGGTCATCTAACATAATAGAGGGATTACTCTGTGGTCCTACAGTAAAGGACTGTTGAGTAGAAACTGCAAGCTTTTGGCTCAAAATGGAAATGGAACAGGCTCACGAGGTGGCTAGTGCCCCATCCAAGGAGGCGCCGATGCGGAAGCTCCACACCTGCTCGTCAGGGATGCGGTAGGGGAGGTTCCGGCTCCTGGGGGAAGACTGGAGTACCTGAGCTGAAGCCCCTTTCCACATTAGGATTCTTCTTCCCACAGAAGAAGATGTACTAGTAGAGGCATAAATAAAGGGTGAGGAGAGTTTTGGTTTTTTTTAGATCTTCATTCTTGCTTTGTCCAGGCCTTCTTATTTTTTTTTTCTAGCTTGTATAGGAAATAAAATGATCAGTGATCTCTAGGGTTTCCAATAGCTAAGAAAAAGAAATACCTCCTTTGATCTCAGGGGATTAGGAACTTGGGGAAAAAAGAAAAATTAAGTCTTTGACTCAAAGTGAGTTTAGTTGATTTCCATCATGGTCTGAAATTACTATCTTTGAATTTTTAATGTAGATTGTTATAGAAATCTGCATATTTATTCAACTCCATAATTCTCATACCTCTATACACAAAGGAAGAACTAAGCAGGAAAGGACATATTGTTTTTACATGGGATAAACTCATGTAAGTGGTTCTACAAACACTAGATTTAAAAAAAACTCAGTGATTACAGATGACAGAGAACCAATGTGCACGACCTCACAAGATAGACGAGCATGTGCTAGCGAAGCTGTCATCAATCAAACTTGGGTGAGATTTGGAGCAAATATTTTTGTTACAGACATGAAACTGAGAGCTGTTCACTTGGGGTCCGAGGCTTGTGCTGGCTGCAGAGCATGGCACTGAAGGCATTTCAAAGGAAAGTGTCAAAGAGAGAAAACAAAATTCAATGACGTTTCAAACAAAATATCCATTGTGAGAGGCTCCCTGCCCTGTCAAATAGGGTAGCCGCCAGATACCTGTGATTGTTTAAATAATTAAAATGGATTGAATTCAAAATGTTGGTTCTGCAGTCACACTAGTCCCATTTCAAGTGCAATAGTCACAGCTAGTGGCTACCCTATTGAGTGGCCTCAATTTAGAATGTTTCCGTCACTGTGGAAGGTTCATTCGGACCATGAAGTCTGTCTGTCCAAGTGGGAGAATCTGAGTACAGAGCAATCAGGTGTAACAAGAACACAGGAGTGTGAGGGTTTGAAATGAAGGGTGAAATGGGGGCGCTGGCTGCCTACTGGAGGCACTGGTACCGTGGACGTGGCGTCTTGGCTGTTGGGGTTATGGTAGACCCCCATCCAATGTAGATGAAATAAAGAACCTGCTTTATAAGAGGTAGTACTGGCTAAATAATGGCATAGATTTGAAAATGGATCTAATCTAAAGTAGTAGGTTCTGTCCAGGGGATATTCTAAACTCTTCAGGGAGACAACAAGGTGTAGAATAAGGAGACCTGGGTTCTCATCCTGCCTGTACTCTCCACGGTGTAGCCTCGGGCACATTATGGAGTCTCTGATCCTCAGTTTTACAGTTGTTACAAGGAGGAGAAACTCACTCATACAGTAAATGTGACAGGAGATGTGGTATGTAAAAGGTGTAATTCATTGCCTGGCCATAGTAAGTGCTTAATCATTATTACTTCCCCCTAGTATACCTAGGATACATTTTAGTTTTCATGTCCTCTCTCAATGTGTAATTCTGTGCTACTGGCAGGATTAAAATGCTGTAGTGTGTGGTCCGTTCTGGTGAAGGTTTACTGTGTGTTTTCTCCCTTGCTTTTAGAACGCACGGGTTTTTCTATCCGTCCTGTGGCTGGTTACTTATCACCAAGGGATTTCTTATCAGGTTTAGCCTTTCGAGTTTTCCACTGCACACAGTATGTGCGGCACAGTTCAGATCCCCTCTATACTCCAGAGCCGTAAGTACTTCATTGATTGATTGATTGATTGATTGATTCAATACCTGTTTGTAATATAGAACCCACCTCATGAGATTTTTGTGAAAATTAAATATATTAGCACATGTAAAACATTTAAAATGGCCCCTGGCATATAATACATGCTTCATGCTCTCTATAAGTTAGCCATTATTGTTTATTATTATTATTATTATTATTATTATTCAACCTGTTAGGGGACAGGTGCTATTCTAAGCATAGAGGACGAATGAATGTATAAACACTGAAAAAAATCAGACAAAAATTCCTGCTTTCATAGAGCTTCTGTTCCAGTGTGGGGAGTACATATAATAAGCAAACACAGATATATATTTAGCTGGTGACTAGTGCCATGGAGAAACATAAAGCAGGGAAAGAAGGAGGTGTGTGTGTGTGTGTGTGTGTGTGTGTGTGTGTGTGTGTGTGTTATTGCTATTTGGAAAAGACGTTCAGGGAAGGCAGCAGTGGAGCAGAGACCTGATTTGGGGGGAGGGGTGTGTCTGTGAGCATCTGCAGGTCCTTATATGTGCGGGTTTGTGAGTGGCCAGGGTTTGGAACCAAAATTGTTTCTTTATTTAGTTAGTGTCCTTTGTGATCCTTTTCCAAAGTAATACCACTTGATCAATTTCCATAAAAGTAAGATCAGATTTTAACTTGATGGAATGGCTGATTCAGGTGCTGATGTTAAGCATCACAGTGTGACAGGCCTGTACCTCTTTTTCAGCGATACCTGCCATGAACTCTTAGGCCACGTTCCCCTTTTGGCTGAACCTAGTTTTGCACAATTCTCCCAAGAAATTGGCCTGGCATCCCTTGGAGCGTCAGAGGAGGCTGTTCAAAAACTGGCAACGGTATAAATCTGGAAATAACTGTATAGATCAGTAATTCTTAACTGGGGTGGGGTGTGGGCATCTGCATAGTTTAAAAGTGCATATTCAAGATGACCACTAGAAAATATGTCTTGGCTCATACTTAATGTAAATCACTTATATAGCATTAAAGGAGGATGTAGAAATTTAAGGTTTATTAAAAGAAGACATGAGCTTAAAAAGACAGGGAAACACTAAAGTACAATAATGTTAATAGTTGATGTATCTTCTCTTTCCAGTAAAAATGACAGGTGCCCCCCAAATGGTGCTAACAATATTTTTGAGTACTAGGTACAAGACATCATCATGTTGCAAACACAAAGATGGGGAGGACCTGGTCCCTGCTTCTGGGAACCTTGACGCTACTTTAGAAAACAGTTATGTTAGGATGAGATGAAGGCAGCAGGAAGTGCAGACAGAGCGCTCGAGGTGTGCAGGGAGCTGCTTGGGGAAGGTTTCATGGAAGAGGAACATCTGAACTAGCTCGGGGAAGATGAGTAAGATTTTCAGGTGCCAAGAAAGGAAGGAAGAGCCTCGAGGGGTGAGGGCACAGGAGGGAAGACAAGGGGGTGCTCCGTGTGTCTGGGGAAACGACAGGAAGCGGGGGCAGAGAGTGCGAGGGTGGGGGAAGCCGTGTGCAACAGGCTCGGCGGTTAGACAGTGCTTCCCAGATTGTGGTTTGCGGTCCCTGAGGCCCTTTCAAAACCATATGTAGGTAACAGATCCATTCAAAGAGCAAAGTGGATTTTAATGTAACAGACAGAGTTCACTGATGTGGTTTCAGATTCCACAATGCAGCTGAACTTTAAGAAACTACGACCTTTTGAGTTTTGATGTAACGTCAGATAAAAACATCCACAGTTATCCGAAAAGACTATTACAATATTCAACCTCTTCCAACTACTTATCTGTGTGAGGCTGAATTTTCTTCATATACTTTAATCATACATGTTAGCCATTATTATTACTTTTATTAATTGATAACTTGTTAAGTGACAGGTACTGTTCTCAGCATAGGGAATGTGACATGGAAAAAAATGGATAAAATTTTTGTCTTCATAGAGCCTAATTCTAATGTGGCATATAGATAATAAACAAATGAATATATATGAATATATTTTAACCAAAACAACATATTGCTACAGGTTAAATACAGAGGCAGATATGAGAATCTATTTGTTTTCCAGTCACACATTAAATAATATCTATCCAGACATTAAAAAGATTTGCAATAATGTAAAACAGTGCTAGTTTATTACTTTTTTGTTTTATGCCATGTTGTTATTTTTCACTAAAGTGTTGTTTATGTTACCATAAAATGGTTTACCGTATTTTACAATTATTTAGTAAACATTTAAATATTTTCTCAGTTTTAATTTTTCATATGGTAAGTATAGCTAACTATAACCCACAACAACACAGGTTGGAGGTCCTCAGTGATTTTGAAGAGTATGTGAGGGCCCTGGGAACAAAGTTTGGGAAGTGTAGCTTTAGAATGAGGCCAGATTGCATAAATACTTGTGAGCGAGTTTGGGGGTCTTGGACTTTACTCCAGGATACTTTGGGTCAGGGGCAAAGAGTTGTAACTTGTTTTAAACCGAGTCACTCAGGATACGAAAGTAACACGCATGTCCTTTTGCAGTGCTACTTTTTCACTGTGGAGTTCGGGCTGTGCAAAGAAGATGGGCAGCTGAGAGTCTTCGGTGCTGGCTTGCTGTCTTCTATCAGTGAACTCAGAGTAAGAGTTGCACACCTTTGCACGTCACCGTATTCACTTAATATCACGTATATGATCTAAAATAGTTTGCAGATTTGGACAAGGGCTTACCATGGAAAGTACTTAGGGTGACAGTAAACATGGTTTAAGATAGAGTTTTCTCTGTTGCCCAAATATTCTGATATTTATATATGTGTGTGTGTGTGTTTATCTTTAAAATTTAAAAAAAACTATTTTAAAGCTTTTGCTTACAAAGTCTTGCTGTTGTCTCCTCACCATTTTTTTCTGTGCTAGCAATAACTCCTGTAATTTTTAGGGAGTTCTTTTGAGATTTACTATTTAGCTAGTAAGGGAATAAATTTAGGCTTGTTGAGTGATGGATGTGTATGGCACAAATCCAAGGCACTGTCTTGTTCTGAAGGGGCCTGCCACCTGGTGGTGGGTATGGGTTATGCATATGAGTAACTAATACAGGTAGAAAGTAGGTGCCATAATGCAAAAACATGTAAAGATCTTTCTGTGCCTCCTACATGGAGAAGAGTTTTAGAACAGTAGAGATGATCTCAAGGCACTTATAGAGAGAGACAAGCCACTTGTTTTGCTGGATAATAGTGTGGGGTAAATAAAGCTGTAGGAAATTAGCATGGACTTGTAGGTCGGGGCCGTTGCATTAGTGGTGCAAATTCAGAGGTGTGCTGTTTCTAGCAATTGTGTGTAAAATGTGGTATGTGGAAATAGATAGTATTCTTAGATTCACTAACTCTTTGTCTTCTAGCATGCACTTTCAGGACATGCCAATGTAAAGCCCTTTGACCCCAAGATTACCTGCAAACAGGAATGTCTCATCACAACTTTTCAGGATGTCTACTTTGTATCTGAGAGCTTTGAAGATGCAAAGGAGAAGATGAGGTAGAGTATATCTTCCCCATGACTTAATTTTCCTCTGCAAAACATAGGTCCAATAATGGTAAACAACTGACAGAAGTAAGCAACCGGATAATTAGAAGCCTACTAGGTGCCTTCTTCTTGTAACATCTCTCCCTTTCACAACAAATATCCAGAGTACATTGTTTAAATGAGAGTTGTAAATTATGAGTCAAATACACCAAGAAATCGGTTTCTTCCCATTTCTTCTAATCAGAGAGTTTACAATGTCATAGGAAAGATAAACTTTACACAAATGACTATACAACAACATAGAAAGCCTTCGTGGAAATACAGATGAAACCTTGTTTGCATTTTTTTCAGGAGCGATTCATTTCAGCGGGGGGAACAGGGAAAACTAATGGCCTTTCAGAAAGGACACGAAGGACAGATAGGATTTAGATATGCTAAGTTGTAAGCTAAGGGACAGTATAAAAAAGGTAAGGAGGTAAGAAAATATAAAAAATGTGGGATGAAGCCAAAGCTATGTTTCAACTATTAATTAGCTAAGTGCGTTGTTAAGAAAGGTGGATATTGCAGGCAGAGCAACTACTTAGATTCTTACAATACTTCAAGTGAAAATGAAAGCCTGAACTAAGATAAAAGGTTGGAGGCAGAATCAACAAAATATTTGGTGGAAGGGGTCATGAGATCATATTGTGATGGTGGAGACAGACTGGGGTTGAAGACATGGGCCTTGTCTTCCAGGGAGTTTCTTTTAGTTGGGGGTTTAAGCCACTCACAGAACCAAATAACAATAGCAGCAGGGCTTCCCCTAACACATGTGGCACCTTTACACAACTAGAGATGGGGGCTCCTGCAGGTCGACCAGGTGGATTCAACCTGTATTTCATCCCCTGCTCATGTGTATTTGTCCTGAGCTGCAGTTATCCCTAGGGTCCTGAACATGATTGTTCTTGGGAGTACCCAATGAGAGGTTCAAATTTTGGCTTGATAAAGAAGGTGGAACTTTCATGCTTGAAGAAAGGGTAGAATTTAGGTTATTTTAGAGAAGGCCAGAGGCAAACATTCTAAGCAGAAAGAATGTACACGTGCAGGAGGCAGTACCGTTCTCAGCCTATTTTGGTGTGTGCATGCGCGCGCATGCGCGCACACTGTGCTTACACACATCACAATGGAGGGGTCTGTGACTATGATATGTGGCCAGTGTTGTCATTCTCTACCGATACAGCTACTGTTCTCAGTCTCCATTCTGTAGTTAAGAGATGCATAAAGTAATAAACTGTTAATAAAGCCATCCACGGGATCTTTCCCTAGTAACGCAGGGGTAGATGTATCTATGACGACTTGAGGTTTTCTACCTGTGTGGGGCTCCAGGGCGCCTCTGCACACGCAGTGCAGGGAAGCAGGTCGGACTGGCGACACGAACACCTAGATTTGTCTTTTGTCTCGTGTGTGAAATAGGTTTGCTGTTAGTTTTCACCGTTTTCCCTCCAGAAATTGATGGCCTTTTATTTGTTTTCTTAAATAGAGAATTTACCAAAACGATTAAGCGCCCATTTGGAGTGAAGTATAATCCATACACACGGAGTATTCAGATCTTGAAAGACACGGAGAGCATCACCAATGCCATGAATGAGCTGCGGCATGACCTCGATGTCGTCAGTGGCGCCCTTGCTAACGTCAGCCGGCCGCTGAGCATCTGACTGTGTCCCGTCCTAATCCTGAGAGCATCTGAGCATCTGTGCAGAGGCCTGGGGGCCAACTCTTGCTTTTCTTGAAGACTTGGTCATGGGCGGGGGTGGGGGGTAGCAGCCAAACAATGTTTTCTACTCCCACTTCTTTTTTTCAGTATATTATCTAGATTATCTTTTTTTAAAAATTATTTTATTGTTGTTCAATTACAGTTGCCTGCCTTTTCCCCTAACACTCCCCTCCAACCCCAGACAAACCCAACCCACCTCTCTCCCTTGCTTCCATGCCCCCCCACCCCACCCCGCTTGGTTTTGTCCATGTGTCCTTTATATCTACTCCCATTTCTTAGTGGCCCATTAATCTTTGAAAATGTGTACCTGAAGACTCTAGCCACCACCTGTTTTTTTTTTGTAACAGTTTTAGTGAAATATGATTGATATACCATGAAATTCACTGACTACCTATTTTTTTAATAGAGAAGTTATTTGTCCCGATGGATATATCTAGTCCCAGTCGGATTCTATTTTTTGCTATCTTTCTTGAGTAAAATAACCGTTATGATTATGTAAGATACTTTCAGAGGTATTATGGAGCTGGTTCATGTTGTTACCTAAATCCTCTTATTCCTAAACCAGCTTACTTATCAATGAATTTGTGCCAAGCTCGATCACACCCACACACCTAAATTTAATAGGAGACCAGCTGCTAGCATGAACGAAATGAGAGAGGACCTTGTGCATGAAGCTTACCTGGTAGAGAGCAAGCAATCTGGCTTCAAGTGTAGTGTCTTGTGGGGAAAGAGGAGTAGCTAAGTCCGGCAAGGTCAGTTAGGACCAGACTAAGATTATGGGACTTCATTTTGTAGGCACTTGGCAGCCCCTTCCCAAGTGACAATCCTCCTTAAAACTTTTTTCTGGCTTTGCATGACACTGATTTTATTTTAGATTATCTGGTCTACTCGTGCAGCCACGGGAACTTGGTGGGGGTACCACTCGCAAAGCCCTGTACTCAGACATGGGCCCTAGGTATTGTGATGGATCGTCCTCAGGTTAGCAGGAGGCTGTGCTGTCAAAGGGAGCGTTCCAGCGGAGTCAGACGAGAGCAGCACAAAGTTAAAGTTGGAGAAGCAGTGCCAGGCACTTTATGTGTAAGGTCTCAGGTGAGACCATGAATAGGAAGGTAAGCTGTGAGGGTAGAGGGTGGGGCCACCTGGAGGAAATGGAATGTAAGAAAGGTCGGGAAGAGCACTTTGGGACTGATGCGGCAACAGTGCAAGGGCGGGCTTTTGTGTGGCGTGCGTGGTGTAGGGCAGGGAGTAGGCCTGCTGTTGTATAAACAGACGAAGCTGGGCTCCCAAATACATGCTGTGTCTTTTTAATTTGCGCCTTTTCTCCCCTCCCTTCCCCAAAGGAAGGCTTTCCTCAAGTGTCTATCGTTGGCCCTCTCCTCTCTCTGTTCTCTCTTCATGGGAAACAGCATTTAAGTCCCTAACTTCAGTTCTTATTTTGTATGATTTTCATATTTGCAGTCCTAACCCTGATGTCGTTCTTGAAGTTTTGCCTCTGAATTCCAGCTGTCTGCTGGATATTTCCGTCTAGGTGTCCCATCAATCAGGCCAGCGCTGTACAACGTTCTGTGGCACCGTTTACAGAGTGTAACAGCATTGTGCAGTGCGGCAGCCCTGCCCAATGTCTCAGACTCCACAGGATCGAAGCAAAACTCAGAATAACCTGAATGTTATGTCCCATCAGCTCCTTCTCCCAGGGATCTCTTTACTGATGGTATATGATGGGTCATATTTTCAGCCAGTTTTCCATTTCCAAGAAACTGTCCTTATATTTCACATTAATAGTCAAATTAAATATCATTTAACATGTTTTATTTCAACAGGTCACTTGATCTTTTAATCCTATTAGACCTCAAAAGAAATTGTAAAAATCTTCTTTAAAATTCCTTTCATTTTATGTTATATTAGGAAATAGAATTAGGAAAGGTAATTCATGCTATTTCATGTTTTTACATTACTTATACATTTTAATAGCCAATTAACTGTTAAATATAGTTTTGATAGTAAAAAGATGTTAAGTCAGCTAATCTAAAATCATTTAAAATATTCATTAGCTAGTTTATAGTTAGCGTATTTGGTTGCAAGGAAATGTGTCATAAGATATTGATTAACAGCAAACGCTAGCAAATTGTGCATCCTGTATCTGGTTATTATCACATGGCTTTGATCATGGTGAAGACTTATAGTTATTGAATTCTGAATTTTAAATGATGGTATTTAAAATCACTCTAAAGCACACTAAAATCAATATCTAAAGGCACAACCATTATAATTAACAACTTCAGAATAATGGAAATATTTAAGGATTGATTTCAGTTCTTCTAATCTCTGTATTTGATATTTGATAAGTCAGGATTCCTGCAAGTCTTAGAATTTTCATGCATTCAAAATATATATCTTCAAAGCATCTAGAAGTAAACTGAACCAAAAGTTTGGTTCATAATTCTTCTTTTCTCTCGCTGTGTTGCTTGTGGTTGAAAGAACATAAAATAGAGTTCATATATTAATTTCTAGGAAATATATAAAGATATTGTGGTCTATTTCAGTCCAGTCTTTGTTTTATGATGTGACATGCATTTATAATTTGCAAATTTGTTATTCAACTGGATAATAAATGAATGCAAACTTCATATTCTCAGAAATCGCTTATTTTCTGTCAAACATGTTACAAACTGATTAAAATATATTCTCAATTGTATTAGTTTAAGAAACCTATCACATCTTTGTACTTCTTTAAAAGCCTCTGAATATATGATAAAGGAAGCCAAACACACCTGTAACCTAGTAACCATCGTTTGGAATTCTTGGTGAAGTCTCAGTCTTGTGATCCTTATCTGTAAAATGAGCTGGGTCTACTTCACTGGGTTATTGGGGGAATTATGTTGCCAGGGGACTTTATAGAAAGAAATGCATTATCCTTAACCATATGTAAAGAATAATTAATATCATCACCCGCCTAATCAGAGATCCTCCATAGCTTCTGGATGATTTTATCTTCCTCCAGAGGGAAGTAACTTACTTCTAGCAGGCAGTATGTATATAATGGCATGGATGGATCTTCTTAGTCCAATTAGAGATTACGCCAATTTGAAGCTGAACTTCAGCCTTTGTGAGCCCAGTCTATTTCCGGTTTGCCTCTACTCTTCGGGTGCATCCCTGTATTGATTCCAAAGCAAAGTAATAGGTATGTCCCAGGGCTTCTCTTGGGGACCCTGGACTCCTAGTTTTGTCTCCTCCTTCCCTCGCATTTCCCCCACCTTCAGGAGATTACTAAAGTACTGTTCAGTTTTCAGCTTCTCAGTTGTTGCTTTCAGCCACCCAGTTTATTAGCCTCCAAGTCACTGCTTGCTAATTAGCAAGTGCTTCAAGCAGAAAAGAAGTGCCAAATATAATCTCTCATCTTCCAGATATTAGTCCTTTAAGTTCTGGCTGCCTTGATAGTTCTCCAATGACTTGAAACAGATTTAAAACTATTTCCCCCAGCTTTTCTAGTTGTTTTGATGAGAGAATTGACCTGGTGTCAGTTAATCTGCCTTTATTGAAAATGGAAATCTGACCTTGGAGTAAATCACTTCTTTGAGCCTAAGTTTTCTCATCTGCAAAATAATCATGATCCTAATAATACTTACCATACCAGTAATAGAGGATCAAATAAGATAAACTAATAAAAAATATTCTACTATGTATGGTGCAGAGATATAGTCTGTATGGCCCCAAATACTTTATCTTTCCCTCTTATGGGGAGTCAGGCATGTGAAAGTTATGCCATCAAAGAGTTTAAGCCTAGCCCCATTCAACAACTGCAACTCAACCAGGCTGTTGATGGGAAGGGCTAGTCAGTGGCATGTACACAATTGAAATAGTTGCAACATCTGAACACTTCCAGGTAATTGTATTAAGGGATATAACATAATATTAGAACTGTAAGTTAGCTAAAGTATTGATGCATGTGCATTCAAGGGGTGAAATAAGAAAACAACTGTATCCTCCCAGGCCCTCTCTGTATTAAAATTGGCTCTGTGAGTAGGTCCTCTTTGCCCGTTTGAATGAAATCTCTGGTCCTGGCCTTGAATTTTCTGCTCACTCTCAGTCTTTATCTTCAAATCAATCTCTTTCTCTCTCTCCACAATTCAAAACATTAAACTTTACCTAAGTTTAACATTTTTCTTCTTTACAACTGAGAAAGCAAGGGGTGTGCTTAGCTTCTTAATTTCCTTTCTCCTCCTTCCCCACTCACTAGGATGCCTCTGGCTCCTCAGGGAATGGTGGTAGAAAGGAGGAGATTTGTGTGTGTGTGTGTGTGTGTGTGTGTGTGTGTGTGTGTGTGTGTCTAATACTGTTGTGAGGTGGCATCAGTGCTTTTTGTACTTGGTAAGTATTTAGTGCTGGCTCATTCTCTGTGGGCGTTTTGGAAGACCTTTCCACCTTCTAATTTTTTGTGATGTGGGTAAATGTACCTCTGACTGGGTTGTTGAATTCATCTCCCTCAGCCTCTAAGAATCTACTGGTCAGCTGTCTTGGAGTGTCACTCCAGCCCTCCAGAATTCCTTGGATGGGGTCTGAGTCAATCCCTTGGCTAAATTGTTCATGCATGGGGAACACTCAAATGGCAGACACTCAGACATTCTTTGTCATGGAAAATTGGGCATGAAAGACTTCTCTGAAGCATCAATGTCTCTTTACTCAACTATCAGAGCAGTGGTCCAGCCATAAGCCATTGGATTTCTCAGCACAAATCATACAGCAGCCTGTTTGGATCCCAGTCTGGAGGGAGACATACCATGTGCTCTACATAGCCCTGCTGAAGTGCACCTTTAAGCATGAGATGGGTGTGGACTCACAGTACATTGACAACTATTTTTTTAAAGATCTTATTTATTTATATTTTTAGAGAGAGTGAAAGGGAAGGAGAAAGAGAGGGAGAGAAACATCAATGTGTGAGGTTGCCTCTCACATGCCCCTAACTGGGGACCTGGCCCACAACCCAGGCACGTGTCCTGACAGGGAATTGAACAAGCCACCTTTTGGTTTGGAGGCCAGTGATCAAACCACTGAGCCAGCCAGGGCACATTGACAACTAACTATTGCTGCACATCCTATCAGAGTTCCTTTTCAGCCTCTCCGACATTTTTCATAGACTGGATGGCATACACTGGTTTCTAGACACATCCTTCACAAGTTATGCTTGGTGGTCTTGTACCTAACTTTATGATATGAGAGTAATTGGCATTTTTTGCTTTGGGGGCTCTCAGCCAAAACTGACAGGAAGGGTCCCCTTTTTACATCCTATTACACATGCTTGAAAGGAATTGTCAGAACAAAAAAGCCTAGTCTTATAAAACAATCATCAAACATAGCATAGTTTTTGCACATCAAGGTTCCGGGGGGAACAAAGAGCTGCTTTGACTCTCTAAAGTTTTTTTTTATTATTTTTTAGCGTGGTTTTCTTAGCATGGCCATAGTCTGGAGAGGTAAAGGTGAGGTACTGCCCTCTAGTGGTCCTACAGCCAGAAACAATGAGGAGTGGTGGCGTGAAAGAACAAGAAAGGGTGAAGAGCTCACCCCAGACCCTCCCCAGGGCTCCCAGGCCTACAGGGTAATGAGTTCCGGAGGCTTGTGTCACCTTGTGTCAGGGGTCAAGAACTAGTGAATATGGATTATTATCCTTAATGTGACCCCATTTGTACTCACAAAGTAAAGTGGGTTATGCACAAAAAAGTAAAAAAAAAAAAATCACCCCTAATTCACCAACCCGAGTGTGTGTAAAATTGATATAACACTTGCACGAGATAGCATGAATATTTCCCTTATTTAATATATTTAAAAACATTTTAAAATATCAGCATAGTATTCTATTGCGTTGCTATGCCATAATTTAATCAATTTATTTGTGGACTCCCAGGTAGTAACGTCTTTCCTAATTATATGTAATCCTATAATGAATAACTTGCAGTTTAAGACTTTATGCACAGCTGTGATTATTTTCTTGTGACAAGTGGACAGATGTGGAATTACTGAGTAAAAGCTATCTTCATATTACTAATATGCATTACCACATTTTTCCTTCATGAAAATTGTGCTTATTTAGATTCCAACCAAAAGTGTATGAGGGTGTCTTATAAAAGCCATGTTATATGAAAATCTTTGTTGGGTGAAAATTACCCAGTATTGATGACCGGAATCAGGGCTGGGGCATGCTTGGCGCACTGAGAGTCGGAAGGCTGCCCCAGCAGGAATTCACGAGAACCAGTCTTCTCAGTGTAAATTCCTGCTCCATGTTAGGCACTGAGGGCGACACCAACCATAGTAAGATCCTATCCTCATCTACCAAGAAGCTCCCTCAGATTTTGCAAATGCACACCAAAGCAAGCCCAACGACAAATTCGGTCTAAGACCCTGGGGTAGGACAGTTTTCACCCCTTCCCAGGCTCAGTTTCTTACCCATCAAGTGGTGAGGTCCTGTCAGCCCTTCTGGGCTGTCGTGGGACTCCCAGGAGATAAAAATGTGAAGGAGCATGGTGCACCTTCTCATCTAGAATCAATACTAAAAATAAAGGCAAAGAGACACAGCTACCCTGCAAAACGGGAGGCCGGGGGCGGAGACGCTCAGAGAGCCGGGGCCACTGGGGAGGCAGCGGCCCGGCTCTCGCAGGTTCTTGATTCGCGGCGGCAAGAGGGCGCGGCTCGCCGGCTCCGCCCCTCCAGCCCTCCCGGTCTCCCGCTGGCCCCGCCCCCGAGTTGGCCCCGCCCTCCGCGTTGGCCACTCCCGGAAGCGTCGGTGGAGGGTCCCCCATGGAGCAGGATCCCAGCGTCCTGAATGCTACCCCAGCTCCGACCGCGCTCTTCGTCTGGGTACGTGACTCCGCCCCCGCGCCCGGGCGGCTGGGACCGAGGGGCGCACAGATGCCGGAGCCCCGGCCTCCGCGTGGGCAGTTCTCGGCTAGGTGGTGGAGGTCCGATCCCCGCTCAGGCTCTGGGTTGGAGGATCCTGGGCTGGTGGCAGAAGAGGAGAAGGCGGTAGGGAAGGGTCTTCATGGGGTGATTTAGGGGGTCTGCTGGCTGATGGGGTCCAGAGCGGAGGGGCTGCGGCTTTGTGGGAAGAACGTCTCCAGGGCAGAGCGTCTGGTTCCGCGAGAGCTCCGGGAAAGACAGCGTGTATGTCTCTGGAGAGAGAGGATCGCTCCGTCCGAGAGCCCTGTGGGTCGCCGGTGCTCCTCACCCTCCCATTGCCCGGAGGATGGGGCCTTTCCCGGGCCCCACCCCATCCTGGCGGGAGCATCCTTTCTCGTGAGGCCTGCAGTGTTTGGCTGTGTGTGCACAAGGCAGAGACCCTGCATAGTTGCTGCCATTCTCCTGTGACCAGGATCTTGCCTGTATTGGGGAAGTGGGAGTCTGCGCCGTTATGGGTTTGACAGGAGCCCCCGAGAGACAGGGTCGTCTTTTTTGTGTCGGGGCTGGGAGGAGGATCTGGGCTCAGGCGAGTATGGCAGGCACCTGACCAGATGCACGGGAACATGCAGACGTGGTTTCTTAATTCTTCATAGTACGTATCCCAATTGGAGTGAAATGTGTAATTGTTAATGCCAGTTTCCTTGGCTAGACTGCAAGCACCGTAACGGTGGGTACTGTG